CAGTATAGGCAAGGTAAAAGAACAGCTAATTCAGCGGCAGTTAGAATTCACAAGATCTTGGTTTTAAGCATACCGACAGAGGGGACGGCGCGCAAACAATGAAGCAGTGGGGACTCGCAGGGAACAGGATGACGCGTACAGTGACAATCAAGGACGATTAAACAGAATCAGCATGCACATTCGACGTGATGAGGATGTGCAGGGTCGAAACGCTAAGCGCGCGGCAAACAGTGACGCAGTGAGGCATCGCTGAGAAAACGATGACGCGTACAGAGAACGAGAAAGAGCTACAAATGCTCTGGCAATGGCTTTTCGCCGGCGCAAAACTGAAGTGAGAAATGAGGAGCGCATTAGAGATCGCACAGGCCTTCGGCAGCAAAGAAGCAATTATGCTACTGCATTGGTCGCATACGAAGCAACGATAAAGGAAGGACCAACCTATGTTTACAACTAATGCGGCAGACTGCAGTTCAAGCGTTCGATTCCAGTTCTTCGGCAATCTGAACTGCGATAGGCTAGCAGTAGGAATGAAGCGTTGATAACTTTTTTAAATCCAGGTTGGAACGCACCAGGTTCTCCGGTGCGTCAATGCGTTTTTGTACTAAACTCACAAATCATTGCTGGCAGGAGTGACCCCTGCGCTGTAGCCTAACTGTAAATGGGAATTGCATTCCCATTTCTTTCAAAACTTTTATCTTACGATTATCAAAACTATTATTCATTAGCTATTATAAGCCTTTAACCCCCCACCCTCCCCAGGGTTGTAAAATTCAAATCCTGGGTCAGGGCATCATAAAATGTGTTCCCTTTATCCCCGCCGCCCGGACATCTCTGACCTCAGCCCTAAATCCCCATCTTCCCTCCAATAACTTTACTGCCCTTTGTCCCCACCACATTGGTGACCCCAACTTCCCCATTTCCTCCCTCCACTTCTTACAATAACAAATTAGATCCCTCCTTTAATAAGGAGGGCCAATAAGCGTGCCGTAACTGGCACGCCCCAACGCCACGCCAGGCGCCCCACCATCGCTGGATCATTATGTATCCAGCACTTCTTTGTATGGTTTAATAACCCAAATTTGAGGTTACAATAAAGAGTTATATTGTTATACTGCGCGCGCCCGCTAGCAGCCTCTGCTGCATGGAAGATTTTGGTATTTGAAGAACAAGAGGAAGAAAGATTAATTAATTCCCGCCCAGGCTGAAGGTATTAGCTATTAAACCCCCTGGCGGCCTCTGAAAGGCCCAGCGTATTATTACTGTTACTCTGGTTATAACCTATAGTACCGCATCTGCGGGAGCTAAAATTTTATTAAATATTTATTTAACACTCAGGCTCATACTGGCCGTGCTTTGATCCTTTCCGGCATGCGGGAGGAAGGCGTCAGTTGGGATGAAGTTGGTGCATTATAGAGCCGCACGGACATCCAGGTGCATTATTACCAGTTTTTTGCATGAAGCCCGATCGTTTTTATGCGTTTTTGCCGTGCAGCGCTAGAGCGCTGAAACAGGCAGCAAAAACGCATATTGCAAC